GTCATCTTGTACAGAAGAACATGGATCAGCTAAAGGATCAGCAATGTGAAGAGATGCTCTGATCCACCTTTGGAAAGTTGTCCCATGACAGTTTGCTACCTCCAGATACAGAAATTTGTGCCAAGCATGCAGTACATTTTTCCTTGGAGTGATGTCCCAGATAATGCCATTTTTCATCTTTCATCTTCCTTCTACTTCGGCAATAAAGAAATTAAAGAAAAAATACTATGCTGCTTTACATTTTTATTTTGCTTGTTAGCTTATGAACCAAAGAAACTGAGTAATTTTAACACCAAATTTTGTATTTTGTCTTTAACATCAAATACACGCCTCAGTTGAGAGAATGTGACAGCGCCTCAGCTGGCGTACAAGACTTACCTTTCAACAGCTTCTCAGCAGTTGCCACATGACTTGTATAACACTGCTGGAAATCAAGATTCTCTCTTAAATGACACCCTGAAATAAGGACCTGGTAAAAAAACTGTGGAAATGGCAGCTCCAGACAAAGGTCATTAGAAGCTGCACCCTCCAGAGAACCCCTGGAGAAACAGGACACCCCAAACATCTGCAGGCTCTGGGATATGGCTACTCTGTTTCCTAGTTCTGTAATTCTGGAACATGTCAATCAGGCTACGAATTGCTACATGCAGAGCAGTCCTTTCCCACCACAAATTTACTCTCCTCTGCGATACAGAAGGTTAGTGGAGATCCATCAGCCCACCACACCATGCAAATGCAACGGGTGAAGAGCTGAACAGACAAAGACTGCAGGCAGAGAGGGTGGTAGAACATCCTATTTCCTAACACTGGTTTTCAAGCCAGAGAGGTCCAGCTCTGCTTGGGAAGATCCCAAACTACTAATTCCAAGAAATCTGTCCAGTTTCTGTCCTTCAGCACGGCTACCAGCCCATGGCAGAAGCAGGATGCTGCCAGACAGCCCTCGGTCTGACATGAAGTAACCACGCTTACATTTGGAAGTTGGGACATGCCTTGGAAGAAGATCTCTGTGCTGCTCAGATACATCTCAGAAATCCCACACAGTGACTGGGCTGGTAGAAAGGTACCGAACACATCCCTGCACCAGTGTAGCTGAGATGGACCCATGTATATGCATGTAGGTAAAAAGAGGGTCTTGAAAGTTTAAAGATAAAAATTAACATGAACGGTACCACAAAAAAAAAATCCTACAAACTCAAAGCAACCTTATAACTTCTTTTTTTTGTAGAAACAAGCCCTACGGCACTTACTGCTGCTTCAAAGGATTAAAACACCATTTGCAAGATAACAGATCTCACCTGTGGCAGGGAATGAGGCTGAAGACATTTGTGTCAGTCAGCAATACATATTCAAAATGGCCATAATGCAAACAGACCCTCGAGATACATCACCTGCATGCAGCAGTGTGGGAGGACATGTAGTGCCAACTCCATCGCAGGGACCTGCACAGTGCTCAGTATTTGGCCAGAAAATAATTTCCAGAGCTAGATGGCTCAGGAAATATTTCCTACACAGGTGAAAGAAAACAACAGCAACAACCAAAAAAAAAAAAAAAAAAAAGAGTGAATCTATCCTAGGCAAGAGGCTTCTTGCAGGCTGCTACTCATAAGGGACAACAGCATGCCATGCTCTAGAAAGAATCCACAGGAGAACGAAAAAAGACCTGGAGGTCTGCTCCAAAAGCCCTGGCAAGAAAGTAATTACTTTGGCTAGAGCCAATGCTATTTAACCCTCCTTCCACAGCTGGGACAGTCCAGTGACAGCCCAATTACAGAAACAATACCAACTTATTCTTTTAATGCCCAGCTCCCTTTGGTACCCGTTAATCAAGTAGGCATTAGCAAGCCTGGAAAATGGACCGCGTTTGCTCTTTCTCTCCTTCCTCCACCTGCTCTGCAAGTTCAAAAGCAAAAACTTCTTTAATCAGAGAAGTGCAGTCTTTGCTTTCCTATGACATTTGAAGGACCCTGAGGAAATCCCATCAACATTTTGCTTATCCCATACTTTGCTCATCTTTCTACCTCCTCCCCAAGAAACAAGGAGTGACTGAAGCAACAGAAACCATGAGGTAGCCTTAAGGCTGATCAGTTCTCATTGCCCTTAACAGAAAGTTGTCTTTGTGAAGCTGCTAAATGCTATTTTATTAGTTGCTTCAAAAATACATTTTCACAGAAACACGGCAACTGACAAGAACAGATAGTGCTAGAGTGAAAAATCACTTGTAAATAAGATATGGTGACAGACTTAATTTTCTGTGCAATATGCAAACAGCTCTCTGCGAGCAACATACAGATGAAGCCTCCAGCCCTTTCTCCTCCTCTCCCTCTCTGGCAGCTGCCACATGGTCCACGTTTCAGAGAATACAACTGAAGTGAGCTTCAGCTCAAGCTGCAAAAACTAATTAAATGGAAAGCTTTGGGAAAAGCTCTCAAAGCCCAGCAGTGCTTTCGGCAGACCCAGGGAGATGGGCAGGAGCCATCTCAGCAGACTTGCTGGGCGCAACCCTCCCAAGGAGCACGGTAACACAGAGCCCTTTGGTTTTCTTGTTTTCAGAGGTTATCATTGATCAGTTTTGAGTTCAATAAGCCAGATTAGAACACGACTGATTTCCACCTATTATTTCTGAGCACACAGCAGGGGAGCGCCTCTCCCTGCTGCCTCCCACCCCCAGAGCTGATCTCACACTCCCCTTTCTGATTATCCTGCTTTAGTCCTCAATACAGCACCTTCCTTTCTCAATAATTAGTGACTTTTAGCTATTTGATGTAATCTACAGCTCAATCTCATCCAGATACCTCCTTCGTGTTCCAGTTATTTAAGCAACAAAGTGAGAAAAACAACTGTCAGGTTGAAGATGTATTTTCCTCATTCCCTTTTATTTCCCAGAGGAAAAAACAACGCAAAAACTCAAACATAAACTACAGTATTCCTGAAAGATAGCGCTTACTAATTGGAGAGTAATCCAGTGTGGCATAACAGTGTATTTTCTACTTAGCCATAGGGCAAGGTTTGTTTGGGAGCTTTACTTTTATAAAAGCAAATACTTTAAAAATGAAATCAAAACTCTTCCTCTGGGGAACCGCTGGTTGACAGTAGGCTCCAGAAACATTCCTCCATCTTCAGTAACTATACAGCAAACTCCCAAAATACCCACCAGCCAGCCTAAGAATCCCAGATCACTTTTCTTGCCTTTTTGTGGTTTTCCTTTTTGAAAGCTCCTTCTTTGCCCACCCTTCACACCATTCCTCAAAGTACACACCACTCAATTCTTTCCTCTCTCCTTAGTTTGATTCCCCAATAATTGTGAACATGTTTAAAAGCCCAAGAACAAGAGGAGAAAATCCTCCAGACCAGGGCTGGCTGCTTGCTACTCTAACACAAGGAGGTCCCTTTTCTTTTATTCTCAGAACAAAGAAATAAAACCAAAGCAAGAACAATTTCTCTTACTGCTGCCTGTGGAAGGACTTGAAAATAATTTTGCACCCTGAATACTTGATTAGGGGGCTGCTCACCACCAGCACAGCCATAAAGCCAAGGGCACAAGTGTTTTCTAAACCACATTGAGTAATGCAGTACTACAGGCTTGGGAGTTCACTGTCACTTGTGACAGATGAGAAGCCCTCGTTACACAAGCGAAAATACCTTAGATAATTTCAGCACAGACTAAAGTTATGTAAGAGAGGAACAGCCAAAGTCTGAGGAGTCAGGACTGAGACTGTCAAAAAATAAAAAATAAAAATAAAAATATCAAAAAAAGAGAGTGTAGATTGAAATCCTAAAACAAATTCCCTGCCTTGAACTAGCTTTATCTCTTAGTGTTTGTTTTCACAACATGAAGGTCACACACGTCTCCCCTACCATGTCCATTTGCTAAGAAACAAGACCTTGAACATTGCTTCTCCCTGATAATAGATCCTCAGTAAAGGAAGAGCTACCTCTCATTTGTCCATGTTACAGTAAGCAAGAGCACAGGGAAAAAAATAAAGCACCTGTTGCTTTTACAAAACCTAAGTGAATTACCCAGCTGACTCCCTTGAACAGTACAGGGCAATGAGGGTCTACAGTAAACCAGGAAGTGTTCTGCATGTTAAGTCCTACAATAAGGTCACCATGAAACAGATACTTTAAGATTAGATGGCCAAGTTTTCTCTTTTTTTTTTTTGGAAGTCTGAAAATAAAATGTCTCAAGTTCATTTGGACAGTGGCATATAAACCATTACCCCACACTTTCTAACAGGGCTGAAAAATAACTAGTTTCTGTGGGCTCTGTGATGTGGCACCTTCCAAGCAGCTACAGAAGCCCTGCAAATGAGATTTTTAGATTGCTTTTCCCCATGAAGAAAGTCTAGAAATGCTGTTTGACATTACCAAAGGCTTCAGTTTCACTGTTTCTTGCCAGCAAAGCAAACTTTTAAGTGTCAGCACTTCAACTGCAGAAGACTTTGCTGGAACAGATTAGCAGATCACAGAAATACCACAAATGCAAGTCAAGTACAGCAGGGTGAAAAGACAGAAGGTATCTAATGATACTTGTTGAAATGTAAACAGCTTAATTTGTCCTCACATCAGATTGCATCATGCATAAGCCTGAGCTTACCCAAGTGAAAATGCAACTGGAGAAGAGAGTCTGAACAGATTGGTAACCAGTGAAGAGCTGGAAAGCAGTATTCATCCAAATACAAGAATATCATGCAAACGAAACTCAAGAACACATCTTCATTTACAGTTTTGAACAGCAGGTCAAATGACTCATTAAAAAAAAATTGCCACATTTGAAAAAGAGAAATCTTCAGAAGTCATCAATCTGTTTACATTTCTGAACCACTCGAAGCTAAGTCTAAAGCAGATGAAGCAATAGCAATTATTCACTCGGTCTGCATTTCAGGCAATCAAGAATTCCTTTTAAGGAAATGCGTGTAGACAACAATAGCAAACTCATTGCTTGTAAACCTTCAAAACTTAAAAAAGCAGTAATTGCAGAGGAAAAAAAACACTGTACTTACTGGAAAGGACCGTTGTGAGGAAGATGTAGTCAGAAAAAGAAATGAGTCCACATTCTCCAAGTGCATAAAATATGCTGTCTTCATCGGCAAACTTCTCTCGCTCCTGGGATAATTTCTATTTATTCATCCGACCCACATCACAGAAAAAAAAACCAAAAAACGCAATTGATTAAATAGAGAAATGGAAGGCTTTATTTGTATCCTTACCACCAACAAACCATTCTACGTACACACACCCCTACTATCTCCATTCATATTCAGTGGACCTTTTCCAGCCTTCAAATCTGTCAGAAATGCTCTGCAAAGATCAGTGCTTCCCCATCTCAATGAGGGGTAAGGAACTGCACAATATTAATGAGTTGATTTAGCCTAGCTGAAATACAGATAAATAAAACTATGTCTATTTTGCTTAAAATTGCCTGAATCTTTGAGTTTGTTACAAAAATCGTATTTCTTAAGATAGGATTAAAAAAGGACATTATTGTATTTCACTAATAGCATTGCAGTTATATTCTGTTGTTGCAGTAGCCAACAAAGAACTCTTTCACATTAATACAAAGTATGATCAAAGTTATCAGAAACACATGATTCAGGAGTTGGCTTAGCAGGCTCACTAGGAAGACCAGGAGCGATACCATCTTTCTCTCTCTCTTTCTCCAGCTATTTTTCAGTATGTTCTTTTAATAGAAAATTCCACGTTTTATCAGCTCATATCCCTTACTAAGCCAAAAATCCAAGTCCTTTTGATCTGCAAAGCTTTCAAAGACTGAAAAGGATCCATAACATTGTTAGGAAATCCACACTGGTGACCCATTTTAAGAACAAAGCAGGAGAAGGCACACACACACAAAGGAAAATGAAATTAATATATAGGAGAGTAGGCATGGATGAGGTTATTCCACAGAAACCAGGTCATGCAAGCACACAAGCATGGTGAAAGCAAGGCTGAATTTAGGAATGGTTTTAGGAAAAACCACCAACAAACACCACCACACGAGGGGCCAGCTACACAACTGTCCCCCACTGTTACCTCTGTCTAGCGGAGATCCCATCATATACAAGATAAAGGAAAGAAAACTGGTTAACCAACAATAAAATAAGCAGGCAAACATAATATCAAGTTGAATGGTTAGACTTGCGAAAAGCAAGACAGTTTTGAAGCAACCACATTGTTGCTTTGACTGGGTGCAGCTAAGAAGCCCAAGTAGACATCCCAGCAAGAGTTAGCACATAGCCTTTCCGGGTCAGATCCACTGTCTGCAGCTGATGTCTCTCATCCACCTCAAGTTTTGTTGGGTTTGGTTTTCTTTTCTTTTGAGAGAACTCACCATTGTATGTGACTGCAGAGTGGGGATGAGCTCAGCTAATAATTTAGATGAAAATTTAACCCGTATCTGGCTCGGAAACCACAAGAAAAGAGACAAAATAATCATACAGATCACACAAAAATACAGATTCCCGTGAATAAAGTTCAGCTCTATTGATCAAATATAAATCTCCCAGTAGCTCTGCTTTACCATCTGCAGAGTGTCAGGAATTTAATAAGAGGTGAACCACTAACAGCAAACAATACACTAATGGCATTCATTCCATGCAAAATAACTGCTATTTATGCCTCCAGAATACGAGGCCAAAGTATCATTTACTTTTTTGCTTCCTTTCCCATCGAGATGGATCCAAAGCAAAATTACACTTATGCCTATGTTGAGGACAAACAAATAATGCCTGGTTTTCCCTTAAACTGAAGGAAGAATTTGTGGAAAAAGCAGTTTTCTGCTGCAGGTGGCACTGCCACCAGCATCTCACTTGCTCCTGTGATTTACTGCATCTTCCAATTGCCTGTCATTAGCAGCATTTATCATAAACTAGCTACTAGCATCCTATTTTACCTGCACAAAGGATCCCATGAAAAGTTCCAGAGGTTGGCTTATTAATTTTTATGGGGTTCTTTTCTGCACTTAAAATTCATAGTTGGCAACAAACAGCTCAAAATATTCGTCATAAGCTGAAAACCACATCCATAGACTAACAATAAAAAAAGATATTAAGTTAGTTGCTCTCAAAAATACAAAGGTGCAGACAGATGGGAGAGAGCAGCATTTACTCATCTGCATCTTACTTTGAGCAAACAAAGTAAAACTTTTTATTTTAAACAAGCACCTACTTGTCAGAAACCTGGGGAAGGAGAGCATACACTGGCTATGCTGCTCACCCTGCCCGCAGCTAACGGGAAAGGGAATTTCTCCAACTGATCTTAACAGGTAAAAAATAACAACTGACCTGATCAATGAGATTTTCAGGCTCCCAGCAGTAGGAAGACTGAAGCTTTTTTTTTTTTGAAAAAATAATTTAAAAATCACAACTCTCCCATTTATTTTCTTCTGGCACATGATTTTCTTCTGGCGTGTTTGACTGCTTTCCACGAAGTATAAGGGAAGCTCGCCCCGCTATGGGAAAGGCTGAAAGCATCCTCCTCAGGGCTTTTCCCCCACCATTAAACATTATATTCTACAGAATTGCATTACAACCCTAGGAAAAAAAAAAAAAGAAAAAAAAAAAAAAGAAAACCCAAACAAACCAACCAACCCAGCCACTGCAAAACAAACAAACAAACAAAACCCCCCAAAACAACCAAAACCCAAACCCAAACAGCAAAAAACCCCACCACATCAAACCACCTACTTCACAAAGCACAATGTAGAGTGTTGTGATCCCTCAAATTTCAAGGTGGAAAAACCTGAAGTCCTCACTAACATCTAAAACCACTGTCTATAGACCTCAAGCTTCTTTTCCACAGTCTAGTTTCCTTCCATCATACTCTACCACCCCTTCTAGCCAGGAAGGTAATGCACAACATCAGTAAATGTAGGGAAAAATCCCCTTCCAAGCTTCCATCCTCTTTTAGAGATGGCATCTTCACAAATTCGTTATCCACAGAATTTCAGGACAACCTTCACATTTCACGCCCTTTTGTACCTGAAGACATGCTAATTCTCAAAGTGTTCAGTTAAAAGTCAAATGTCTTCCACTTCAGATTTTTTCTCTATGTTAGATCCATTCCCAAAAACAGAATAATTGGTTAAGACCATTCAGCACACCCAAAAAGACATTTAAAACTGAGCATTCACGAGTGAGCAAGCCACAGGAACAGTTTACAATTGTGATGTATTTTCCAACCAAGCAGTAGATTCATACTAAACAAGCACACAAACAAGCAAACATTCAAATTAACATGTAAAAAGAAAACAAAATCCAAATATACCATTGCTTTTGGCACAAGCATGGCTGTGTAAATTGAGTGAAAAGCCACTAGTCCAGTCTCAGTGGAATAAAACTTTTTACATTCAGGCAGATTATCATAGAATACCAGACATGAACAACAGGTGAAAAAAGATAATGCAACTGCGTTTCAAAATATGAAGCTTGGTTTGCCCTTTCTTCTGGACAAACTCAGGCTCCAAGTCCATCAAACAGCATCACGTGGGCTGAACATATCAGTAGCAGCAATCAACCTCCCCCAAACCCATGTGCTGTAGGGAAGTTGCATGCCATATGCAGACAGCTCCCCAGACCTGTGTTACCGGCTGGCCGCAAGCAAGCAGAGCACCCTAAGATATATCACAGACTTCACATACTCTACCTCAAACCTGATCTACTGCTGGAGCATCCCCTGAGCCAAGTAAATGGCTGCAGCTCCCAGGTAACAAAGGATTTTGGGGAAAAAACACCCATCAATTCCTTCAGTTCCTTGCCAAATATTACCTTTATTTTGGATTTAAAAACACTTTTCCCAGGACTGAGTCAAGTGTGAAAGATGGAAATACTTAATTACATAAATCTGAAAAAAAAAAAGATGTATTTTTGCAAATTAAGGGATGCCTTCTCTGTAGAGACAGAGACTGAGGCAAGGTGCGTTGCTGGTGTTTGCTCTGCACATTTGGAAGCACCTTATCAGCTAAATCATTGCAGCTCCACTTCATTTTGCATTTCAGAAACTACTTAATAACCAGCATTTAATTTGCCTCTTTGGGAAGAACACCTTCTTGGAAAGTCACTTAGAGTTGACAGTTTGTGTTTCAATGTGGAGTGGAAACACTTACAGCACATTTATTCAGGTAACTTGTGTATGTTTCAACATCACCTTTGTATTTATATAAACCAAAGCTTCAGGAATTTATTGGCCTTATGTGGCCACTCGACAGCAACTTATGCCTTCCAAAATGACATCAAAAAAAATATGCAATGCGGGCAAGATAATGAGCATTTCTCCAGAATCAGAAAGTAGTTTTGTAAATTAGTAAGGAATTCTAGATGAAGCATAACCATCTTTTATTGACAAACATCAGACTCAGTTTGTTCCTTTTTAAAAGAAATACTTTAAGGTTACCAATACTGTGTAAGCAAATACAAAACCATGAATGTTTCAGTAAAGTCACCTTGCTGCAAAGCAGTTCTCTTTCAGTCCCAACTGATCACCTTCAATTATGCAGTTATTCAGTTATGTCAGTTATGACACTTCTAAAATGTATTTCTTTCATGGTTAGCTGTAGGCATAGAGGAAGAGAAGCTAAAATGCTCTATGTTCAGTGTTAAAAATAAACATTCTCTTTTCCACAGTAGGAATTTCTAAAAACTGTGTTACAAGTTGGCCTAATATAGACAATTTCTGTCCTTGTTTCTGAGTTTTCTGGCTTTAGAAGGTGGCCCTCCACATTACTGCAGTTTTGGGATACATGTCTCTCTACAAATGAAATCTCTTACCAGAGGAAAAGAACCCCACATGAGGATTTGTGCACATACCATTAAGGAGTATGCATAGACATGATGTGCTATTAGTCCTGCTTACAAATGGCTTGATGCCTTGGGCTTAAATCAGTAGACAGCACCCCTATAAACAAAAAACTATTAGGAATCCTTCTAAGGAAAGGAAAACAAATCCTTCTGTAAATTATTGGACAGTACATTTAATTAATGTATTTTAAAAACTTATGAGCTCATACCACACATATTGTTTGACATCTTTAAAATGTATTAGCTAGCTTCTGTCATCTCATTAGAGCTACACAACATTTAGATGTGCAGCGATGCAGCTCCTATCTGCCTGGTCCAGCAGTCTGGAGGATAGCATCATGCTGGCACAGACTACTGCTGCTCCTTCCCCAAACAGGGCTGTTTAAGATCTGGGAAAATATATACCAAGACACTCAATGCGTTTCCAGCAAGTGCTCCGTATCAGTCTGTCAAACACGACAGAAAAGGGAAAACCCTTAAGACATGCCAGTGAAAACTGGAGGCAATGCAGCCTGCTGTGGTAACTAAAAATATCGATGCTTTGAACTGTGTCTGCATCAAAATGCTGAACTGAAGGCTCCAAAATGAGGAAAATTTTTCATTTTACTTTCTTTTTTAAGATATAAACTTTAAAAACCCAAAGCCACATATTTAGAGATTTCATAGAATCACAGAATCAACTGGGTTGGAAAAGATCATCAAGCTCAACCTCTCATGACAACTCACACTGGCACCTCAGTACTGACATTAAGAAAACTGAAATAAGGAAATAAAAAGGATTTCAGAATCAGGTTTTAAAAATCCAGCCTTTCAGCCCAGACATTCAAAAGGGAACAAGAGGTGGGGAAGGTCCCTCTGTGTTATGAAATGGGAATGAAAAAGGGACCGGGAGAAGAATTGAGACACTTACAGGTTTTAAAGACAGCTTTATAATGCAGATACAAAATAAATTTGCTTAGATGCACTACCTTGGATTTTTTTAATATCACTTTATACCTATCACTAAATTAGAAAAGTGTTTAAGTTGTGATAGAAGCAGCACAAGGACTTTCTGAAACTCATAAATCTCTTTTTGCAATGGGAAAGTTTACAGTACTATTCCTAGTGGCTCTCGATTAATTTACTATGAAGTTGACGTGCTAGCACAGGCAAACTCAAACAGATTCTGCACAGCAAAGTGTGGTGGGTGAGTGTTAGCACAAGAAAATGGTAAAAATTTACTGTTGGCAGATAAATACTGCAGCTCACGACCTTTCAAGAGTGTATTTTAATAAAGAGATTTTTAAAACCTGATTTGTGGACTATTTTCTCTCTCTATATATACAGGGGGACAAAAGTATAGAGCTGGTCATGGATGAATTTGCTCTGCGTACTCTCCCTGTGAATTTGGACATATACAGAGAATTGGGCAGCCATTATTACTATGGGTGGTCCCCTGAGACTGGAAAGAGAAATCTGCATTCTGTCCTTCCAGCAAGGCTGTAAATATTCATCACCTTCAAAACAAAGGGCACCTGAAACACAAGGCCATCATTCTGTACAACCAAGAAAAAAAAAAAAGGCACAGACTTTCCCAACCCTTTGCAGGCAGCAGACCCACTCA